AAAATAAACATATTGGGATGAGCACTGCGTGTTGTATGGAAACCAATCTGACAATAAACTATACTTAAAAAATTAAAAACAATTTTAATTGTGGGGCGCCTGGGTGGCTTAGTCGGTTAAGCGTCCGACTTTTGCTTAGGTCATGATCTCGCAGTTCGTGGGTTCGAGCCCCGCATCGGGCTCTGTGCTGACTGCCAGCTCAGAGCCTGGAGCCTGTTTCAGAGTCTGTGTCTCTCTCTCTCTGACCCTCCGCTGCTCACGCTGTCTCTCTCTCTCTTTCTCCTAGAAATAAAAATATTTAAAAACAACAACAACAATTTTAATTGTTTACTTCTGGGGGCTCCTGGGTGGCTCAGTCAGTTAAGCATCCACGTTGGGGTCTCAGGGCTCTGCGCTAAGAACGCAGAGCGTCGCTTGGGATTCTTTCTCTCTTCCTCTTTCTCTGCCTCTCCCCTGCTCACTTGCTCTCTCTCTCTCTCAAAAATAAATAAACTTAAAAATTTTTTTGTTATTATTCAAGTATGGTTGACCTACAATGTTATATTAGTTTCGGGCGTACAACGCAGTGATTCTACAATTCTATACATTATGCCAACCTCCACTTTTATCAACCCTTCGTCCCAGAGGCTGAGCATTCGAAGTCTACCTCATCCCCGGCCAGTCCTTCCTTTTCCGTTCCATCCACTTTCCTCCCTGCCCTGGCTATCTAAGGATTTCACTTTGGCCGGCAGGTAAGAGAGCTCTCTCAAATTCCCCATCTCTTCCCTCCAACTTCTCCAAATCCATCCATCATTTATTTAATAAATCTTTACCAAGTTAACTCCTGCAGGCAGACACTGGACTGGATCTGGGGGATAGTTGAGTAAAAAAAAACAAAAAAGCAAAACAAAACCAAAAACACAGCTCCTGCTTTAAGGACTTTGGAGAAAGAAGGAAGGAAGGAAGGAAGGAAGGAAGGAAGGAAGGAAGGAAGGAAGGAAGGAAGGAAGGAAGGAAAAGGAAAAGAAAGGAAAGGAAAGGAAAGGAAAGGAAAGGAAAGGAAAGGAAAGGAAAGGAAAGGAAAGGAAAGGGAAAGGGAAAGGAAAGGAAAGGAAAGAAAAAAGGAAAGGAAAGAAAAAAGAAAAGAAAAACGACAATACAGTACGATCAGTGTTCTGGCAGAAGTCGGTCCATGCAGCGTGCGGAACACAGAGCGTTTGTACCTAGCTCCCAGATGGATTGATGAGGTAGCTGGGGCAGTGAAAAGGCCAGATTTCCAGCCTCTTGTGCGGGGCAGCCCTGGCCCCTGGCTCCGCCCTCCTGGGTGTCAGAAGTCACTGCCCAGTCAAGTATTCTCTTCTGAGATAGCCTTTATTTTCTTTTTTTTTTTTTAATATTTTTGTTTATTTCTAGGAGAGAGAGAGAGAGAGAGACAGCGTGAGCAGGGGAGGGTCAGAGAGAGAGGAAGACACAGACTCTGAAATAGGCTCCAGGCTCTGAGCTGGCAGTCAGCACAGAGCCCGACGCGGGGCTCGAACCCATGAACCGCGAGATCATGACCTAAGCGAAAGTCAGACGCTTAACCGACTAAGCCACCCAGGCGCCCTGAGATAGCCTTTATTTTCACGTCCCCTCTTTCCTCTGCTCTTTCCTCCTTATAGGATCTTCTATCAGGATTCTCATCTCTCAGAACCTCCCCCATTAATCCGTGTTCTCACTAGCCTCCACCTTGTTTTTTGGGGAAGGAAATGGTAGTGGGTGCCACTCACGCTGCTATGGGAATGGAAATGGATACAACCTTCTAGAGGGCATGTATCAAAAACCTTAATAACGTGAACACCCTTTGATCCAGCAATTGCATTCTTAGGAATCTATCCTAGGGAAAGAGTCATGGGTGTGTACACAAATCTGCCATCAAAGGCACACAAAAATGTTTATCAAAACACTCTTTAAAAACAACGTACTGAAAACAATCTAAATGTCCATCCAAATGAGATAATTAGCTTAAAATTAAGATGCAACAGGGAGGTACCCAGGTGGCTGTTGGTTGAGCCTCTGACTTTGGCTCCAGGCTTTGAGCTGGCAGTCAGCACAGAGCCTGATGCAGGGCTCGACCCACAAACCGTGAGATCACGACCTGAGCCGAAGTCGGACGCCCAACCGACTGAGCCACCCAGGCGCCCCAAAGCAGACGATCCTTGAAAACATGGTTAAGTGAAACAAGCCAGATACAAAAAAGACAAATATTGTGTGATTCCACTTATATGACTTTCCTGGAATAGGAAAATTCATAGACAGAAAGCAGAACAGAGGTGGGAAGGAGGCATGGGTATAGGAAATGGATAGTGGCGATGGGTGTATAGCATTATGAATGTCCTTAATGCTTAGCCACTTAAAACGGTTAAAATGGGAGCGCCTGTCTGGCTCAGGAGATAAAGTATATAACTCTTGATCTTGAGGTCATGGGTTTGAGCCTCAGGTTGGGTGTAGACATTACTTAAATAATAAAACAGGGGCACCTTGGTGGCTCGGTCCGATGAGAACCTGACTCTTGGGACGCCTGTGTGGTTCAGTTGGTTAAGCGTCCAACTTCCGCTCAGGTCATGATCTCACGGTTTGTGGGTTTGAGCCTCCCATCAGGCTCTATGCTGACAGCCAGCTCAGAGCCTGGAGCCTGCTTCAGATTCTGTAACTCCCTCTCTCTCTGACCCTCCCCTGCTCACACTGTCTCTCTCTCTCTCTCTCAGAAAAAAAAAAAAAAAGAAGAAGAATCCCACTCTTGGCTTCAGCAAAGGTCATGATTCTGGGGTTGTGGGATTGAGCTCCACATCAGGCTCCAAGCTGAGCTTAAGATTCTCTCTCTCTCCTTCTGCCCCTCTCCCCCATTTACGCCTGCTCTCTCTAGAACAGAAATCAACAAGCAAATAAATAAATGAATAAAATGCAAAACTGTAAATTTATGTGTTATCTCCCAATAAGACTCAAACCAAAAAAAAAGCTGAACGGTTTGACTCCATTCATACAAAGTACAAAAACAGAGAAAACTAATCTATGACAGAAGTCAGACTGACTACTCTTCCTCAGCGGCTGGAAGAGGACATGAAGGGCGGTTATGGGGTCATTATTTATGTTTTTATGAGTGCGGGTTCCACTGGTATGTTTTCTTTTTCTATGTTTTATTTATTTCTGTGAGAGTGAGAGAGAGAGAGAGAGAGAGAGGGAGGGAGCGTGAGCAGCGTTAGAGAGAGAGGGAGGGAAGGAGACACAGAATCTGAAACAGGCTCCAGGCTCTGAACTAACTGTCAGCACAGAGCCCAGACTGGGGCTCGAACCCACGAACCATGAGATCATGACCTGAGCTGGAGTCGGACGCTCAACTGACTGAGCCACCCGGGCGCCCCTCTACTGGTACGTTCAATTGGTGAAAAACACCGAGCTCTTCACTTATGAGTTTGCCCTGTGTGCCTTTTTTATACTTCATTCAATAGTTCACCAGCAAACAAGAAAAACCTTTACGTCTTTTGAAAAACAAACAAAAACATGGGGCGCCTGGGTGGCTTAGTCGGTTAAGCGTCCGACTTTCGCTTAGGTCATGATCTCGCAGTTCGTGGGTTCGAGCCCCGCGTCGGGCTCTGTGCTGACTGCCAGCTCAGAGCCTGGAGCCTGTTTCAGTCTGTGATTCCCTCTCTCTCTGACCCTCCCCTGCTCATACACTCTCTCTCTCTCTCGTAGAAATAAATAAAACAAAAAAAAAAAGAAAAACAAAACAAAAAAATTAAATAATCTCTATATCCAACATGGAGCTCACACTACACCCCCAACCGAGCCAAGCTAGGCACCCCGAGAGAATTTTAAGTGCAAAATTCCGAATGAGCTCTTGGGAGGTGAACCTTTTTTCCCTTTTTCCGTGCGCCTTTTCTTGTGCCTTAAGCCTGCGCTGATTCTGTGCCTTCCTTGAAATGCTTTCTCGTCGTATTTTCCAAGGTCCCACACTACCTTGGAGCCACATTCTTGGGAGCACCCGGTTGGTGACTAACCTGCCTCCTGTTTCTCGATTACTCTTGAGTTGAACTTTCGGAGGTCAGTCCTTACCGATCCCGCTAACCAGGAGCTCAGGGCGCGTTTACAGAGCAGTATTAAATCCAATCAGTCCGGGAGGCTGGGAGCAAGACCGGAAGAACACTCTGGGGCAAGGGAAACGCCGCTCACGTTCTGCCCAGCTGTGCCAGCCAGCCTCAGTGTTCCAGACGCGAAGCCACGCCCTTTCCCAAGCACCTCCCCCAAGTCCATCTGGCCCCGCCCCCACCCCACCCGTGGGCTCCTTAGGCCCCGCCCAGTGAGCGTGGCCCCGCCCCGGGAGGGCGACGATCCCGCCAACAATGACTCCGCCCCTCCTTCCGCTGAGAAACCTGTCCCTTTTATTTAAAGATTACATTTACGTCAGCCCGCCTTACGTAGCTTTACGTCATCGGTGCAAAGCGCGGAGGCGGGACTTCCTGTCTCTCGTTCAAACAGCTTCCGGGAGAAGCCGGAAGAAACCGGACCCTGGACAGAATCGGGGATAGCCAGCCCCTCCCCCGACCCCTACGGAAAGGTGAGTCCCTGGGCCGTCCTTGTGAAGTCAAAACACTTAGTCTGGCCGCTTCTGGTGAGGATCTCCTTCCCTATCCAGGAACCGTACTGGTCCAGTCCCCCTTTAATTTCCCATGGCTCCCCGCGTGCTCAAGCCCCGCCCCCAGGCCCTCAGCCCCGCCCCGAAGTTTGAGGGGTGTGGATGGTTTGTGACCCCCTCATCTGACTCTACCCCTTATGGGCTGGAAGAACTGAGCTTGCCGGCCGGGGACCAGGCAGCCTTTGGGCTCAGGTGGGCCCGCGGACTTTTCTCCAGCGCAGCGGGAATAGGACCGCCCAGCGCGGAGCCTGCGCCTCCGAAAAGGCAGGGTCGGGTCCCCTCCTCACCGCGCCGTCAGTGTCGTTCACAGGCTGGGGAGAGAGCCGAGGCCTCCGAGACGGGAGACCTGGGGTCCTGCTTGGCCCCCGCCCACGAAACTTCCCTGCGTCTGTGCCAGTCGTTTTCGCTTCTGTTCGCCGCAGTTTCCTTTTCTGTAAATCAGGGTTGGTGACATTACCCTTCTTAACCATCAGGGGCTAGTTTTGGGGGGCGATAAGTAATTGCTCCCGTGTATTTATTGAGCCGTTGCAATGTGCCAGACACTGGGCTAGGTATTTTGCTTCGATGATTGCCCGTCACCGTCAAAACAACCTTATGAGGTAGGTACTGTTTTTAACACCATTTTACTGATGAGAAAGCCGAGGCTTTGAGAAAGTTGTCCGAGGTTACAGAGGTAGGGAGAGACAAGAGCATGATTATAATTAGTGTTGTGTTTTTCTTTTTACTCCAGGGCCCATGTTCTAAATAAGGATGTGCAAGCTATCCAGGTGTTGACCTGTCCCACAAATATTCTTTGGCATCACGCTAGGCACTAGGGTGCAGAGAAAAATACATGCGGTCCTTGTCATCCAGGAGTCTAGGAGGGAGAGACGGACAGGTAGCTAAGCATAAGGAAATTTTATAGGTCTTGTGAGAATCGTTTATTAATGATACTCATCAGATTGGATTTGCCCCGGGGCAGCTATGAAAGCAGCACATTCTCCATGGGAAAGAGGAGGCACTTGAAAGAGCAAAAAGAAAGGCTTTCCTGCCTTTCTGAGAAACTACCTTGGGAGACACTGCACAGTACAAGAAGAGAGATACAGAAGGGATTGTGAGAGCTCTTTTGGAACCTCTTCCAAAGCCATTTCCACTGAGGTAGCGGTTTTGCATTTGGGGGCCTCTGGTGACCCAGAAGGTTGGCGGTTCTGGTGTCCATCCTCCTGCGCTCCCTGGGGCTCGCCGGAAGTGTCTCAGAGGCGGCAGACACAGTGCGTGCTGCATAAATTGCCTACCGACGGGCCCTGCACAATTGTCCTTTTGAGGTGGTCTGTGACTGTGCTTCTGATGAAAAATTAAGGGTTTTTGGTTCTGGACATCTGGACCTGAATATGCGACCATGAACGAGGCAGGGGTTAACATGAGAGAGTCTGGCAAGAGTGGCTGCCCTGTGCCTGCAGAAGGCCCTAAAATAAAATGGGTCTCTCTGAAGCCTCCTTGGAGGCTTCTCGGGGGGTCACAGTCGCTGGACCAAGTGATAGAAATCCTAGAGAAACTCAGGGCTCAGAGAGGCACATGTTCTCGCCCCCCCCCCCCCCCAAAAG